GGTTTACCCTTCATTAGTTCGATCCAGTAGGATTGCAAGGGAGCTTCTGGTGTATTGCCTCTATATATGAATGGATATACAAGATGTGTTCAGTATGTGAAAATTCATTGATTTTTGTGTGTGTGTGTGTGTGTGTGTGTGTGTGTGTGTGTGTGTGTGTGTGTGAGGAAGATAAGCCGTAAGGTAACATCCATGCCAATCCTCCTCGTTTTTTGCTGAGGAAGACTGGCCCTGGGCTAACATCCGTGCCCATCTTCCTCTCCTTTATATGGGACGCCGCCACAGCATGGTCTGACAAGTGGTGCATCGGTGCGCCACCAGGATCTGAACCCGGGCTGCCAGCAGTGGAGCACGCGCACTTAACCGCTACGCCACGGGGCCGGCCCCTCATTGAATTTGCATACTCATCATTTGTACACTTTTCTGTATGTATGTTATACTTCAATAAAAAGTCAAATTTTTATCACTTAACTGTTAAAGCCATATATTAAGGTTCCACAACAATTTATTTTGTGGGAAACAAGACTTCCTGAGAGTAATTTCAACTGTCTCCTGTTAGCTGGGACTGAATGTATTAAACTTTGTTTCAGAATACCTTTTCAGATAAGCTAGTGATGATACTGTTTATGATTCTCCAGAATAAAAAGGGAAACCAGAAATTCAATATTGAGCTACAACTATACAATTCTTTGGTCCTAAATTAAAAGTGAGCAGTCCATTTAGATCTGGGTGCTGGTTACATGGTTATGTTCAGTTTGAGAAAGTGTGAGCACTTCACTTACGTACTTTTCTTCATGTGTATTATACTTAAAAATTTTAATCAGCATTTCAGTTCCATACCCCACTTACTTTGAACTACTTTGGCTAATCTCTTTCATAAAGCTCCAAGCTATTTTAAGTGGTTATTTTGAAGTCTCATCTCAGTGAGTTAACATGAAACTTTTTCCTCTAGTCACTGCCCCCAGCCATACTATATAACACATCTCCCTACCCATCTAGTAGTTAAGATGTCCCTTAATGATGTCTTAACCAACTTTCACACTTTTACAGACACTGTTAATAAAAACTCAATTCATTTATGCTTTAATCACATGTCCATTTACATCCCATTTCCTCCCTTCCCCACAGAGATCTACATATTACGGCTTAAAGGTCTAGGGAGTATGGAAAGGGCCCTCTAGGTGCCACTCATCCCTCTCATGAAAGAGTGTGTACATCCTCACTGCACAGTTGCTTGGCTAAGAGATCCTGCTTTGGCCTGACCTTCCAGCCCCATCCCAGCTCCTACCACTCCTCACACAAGAGGGGCCCTTCTTGGTGGGATACTAGCCAAAAAGCTCACGTCTTCTGTAGAGCCCTCCTGAACCACAGAGTGTCACAACTTCCCTGCGTATCAAGTGGTAGGAATTCAGACAGCTCCAGCCACTCTCCTTCCCTGCCCCATATCACCTCTCAATCTTTTTTTTTTTAAAGAAGAGCGTTTTCATAATTTTATTTATTTTTCCCCCAAAGCCCCAGTAGATAGTTGTATGTCGCAGTGGCACATCCTTCCAGTTGCTGTATGTGGGATGCCGCCTCAGCACGGCCGGAGAAGCGGTGCATTGGTGCGCGCCCGGGATCCGAACCCGGGCCGCCAGCAGCAGAGCGCGCACTTAACCGCTAAGCCACGGGGCCGGCCCTCAATCTCTCTTTCATCTTTACTTAGTCAAGGGCAGAGAGCAGGTCTGGTGCCTAACAAGGGACTTCTTTTAGGAAGAACCTTGACTTCTTTTTTGGAAGCACCCTCAATCTGTACAAATGGTTCTCTTGGAAGACACTTTCCTTGCTTGGCTTGACAGAAGAAGCGGCATCCCACCCTACTCTCCATTGAGAGCAGAGGGAATCATTTCAAGTGCCACTCTCCCTACATGGTCTTCTTATACAGACCAGGGCAAGGCTGAGATAATATTGGTGGTGGCAGGGACAGCTCTGTGGCCTCTTGGTAAGCCCCCAGGGAGGTATCTGGCCCCAAATGTTGGGGACTTGCATTGCACCACAGGTCACTTAACATCTCTTCATTCTCAACTTCGGACCCTAATAGCCAATTCTGAAGCAAGAGAAAAAAAATCTACTTGACATCCAGTTACACTGAAATAGCTTTCTCTTTTTCAAAGTCTATTTCAAATGCTGTTTCATCCAAAAAGTGTTTCCTAACCAATACAATCTCTTTCTCCTTGACCCTGTCACAGCACTTTTCCAATAATGCCTTATCAACTGAGTGTGTAGTTCTGTTACCACTCTCACCGTACACCATACAATGAAATATTTTGTCACAGCTAGCATACAGCCTTGCAAGTGACTTAAACATCTGTTCAAATGAAAAAAATAAATGGGACATCACCACCACGAAGTTAGGCACACCCATATGAAACAAGTTGTGCAATTAAAATTAAATGTGACCTATGCAAAATGAAAACAGTAATGTGAAACACTGTGGTAGGATATACCATTTTTCAAAAAGTTGTTTTTATATTTGTTATAGAAGACTAGTGGGGAAAGTCACACAGAAAAAATTACCCATAACACGTTACATTTATGTCTGTCATTCCAGTCTTATTCCGTGTGTGTGTGTGTAGATACATATATAGATATAGACGTATCTATACTTGAGGTCATACTGTTTAGTACTCTGCTTTTTCCTTTCAGATGCTTTCTCATTATCTTTCCACGTCATTAAGTAGCTGCAGGGCACTCCACGGTATGGCTGTGCTACAAGGAATGTTCTGTACGCTGCAGAACAGTCCATCATATGGTTCCTTAACCTTCTGTTGTTGCCAAATTTTCCCTAGTTAAAATGCTGTGATAAATAATCTTGTTCTTAAGTTTTTACAGTTCTCATTATTTTCTTAGGTAATAAAATTACTTTTGACCAGAAGCTACAAATTCAGGTTATTTCTTAAAGTTCTTTACGGAAAATACATACGTACCCGAGTTTACTTCCACATTAACCACAGGTCGGTTTTTCTGCTGGCCTGGTCTATCAGGAGCTCCTGCTGGGGAAACCTGGTCAAGGTGCTCTCTGCTGTGGGCCAGGCAGCCCTGCTTCACCACGCACGACCAAGGGCCCACAGCCCTGATCTAACATCTCAGGTGGGAATGGGGAGAGCTGACCATACAGTGGGGGCTCAGTGTATGTGAAGGGCACAGAACACCAGCTACCTTGACTAGAAACTTTCCTACAATCCCTGGAGGTCCCTTAAAACTGCAGTACTGCTTCCTCATCTGAGCCCCAAGAGAACCCTCTGAGGCAAGCTGGGCAGGTACACTTCTGCTCTACAGCTCAGAAAACTGTCTCCTTTATCTCACTGCTCAAGGTCAACCTCAGAACCTAGGTTTCCCTATTTCTTCAAGGTCCTCTTCCCACTGTACCTCTTGGATGTGTGCCCTGAGAAGTATCTGAAGAGGCCAAGAAGTCTATACCTTGTAGTTTGGCCAGCCACTAACCTGGGCAGAGTACAATGGTAACACCTTCACTAGAGCCTGGCATCTTACCAGTGAGGCCACTGGGCTCCCCAACCAACTGCAAACATACACTCCTCAAAGCTCCTCTCTCACTAACCACGTATTCTTTCTCTTAGACAGTTCAACAACATAGCATTACCTGAAAAACACGTTGCTATAAACTATAAAAATTCCCAGCATGTCTAAAGCAACCCAGTGAGATTTAAGCCATTGTTAACCGTCATTGTTATTGGAACGTAATTCATGCAATTTTCTCAAAGGAGAGAAACAGAACATGTATGCAGAACCAAGACGATTCTCTGAATTTTTAACTTGGCATAAGCTAAAGGAGAATGAATGTTAGCTCATGACTTACTCCAATTAACAGAAAATATTTCACAAATACTTTTTTGGAAGTTAGAAGAGACAAGACCCGCCAACGTCCCTCCCTCCTCCCATGCCCTTCTCTCATGTGCCCTCCAGTACAATTTAATAGAAACAAATTCTACATTTACCACAACTCAGTCTCCCTCATAATGAACCTCGTTCTCAAACATTTAGCCACGTTATGTTCACATACTCCTGTGGCTTTGTGGGAATTATTTCCAAGGTCAAGTTAAAAAATAAATCAAAGAATTTATCATCCAAAACAGCAATTACCAATCCTTTTTCTGAGAATCCTCATTGTTGCCAAATTTTCTCAAGGTCCATTTAAAAAATTAAGAATATGTTCACTTCCATTTAAAATAACTAATAAAAAACATTCCGTCAAAATTCTTATAACATGTTGCAACTCCCACAAAAGATTATGAAACACTGTTAGGACATCCAAGCCTCCTTGTGAAGTATCATCTTCAGGAGATGCTGCCCTCTCCCTCCACTATTGTGTGGAATATGCTAAGTATCATAAAAACTAAATTGTTGACTTCACACTCATTTTTAAAAGCAATTAAAATAGTCAAGAGCTGCACTGTGCAATACAGTAGCCACTAGTCACGTGTGGCTACTGGGCACTTGAAATGCAGCAAGTTCTAATTGAGTTGTGCTGTAAATGTAAAATATACACTGGATTTTGAAATCTTAGTCCTAACAAAAGAATATCTCATTAATAGTTTTTATACTTATTATATGTTGACATAGTATTTTGTATATGTGGGTTAGATAAAATATTAAGTGAATTTCACTTTTGTAAAACTTTTTTAATGTGGCTACCAGCAAATCTGTAACTACATATGTGACACATTATAATTCTGTCACTTACAAATAGTTCTGTCACTTCTGATCTTTTTACCCAATATTCTTGTGTATCATAAAATAGATTCTATACTATAATCAGAGATAGTCTTCACCCAGAGAAGGACCCAATCCACAAAGTAAACTACAAAAGGGGCAAATGTTGCCAGAGATTCAAGGTCATTCTTATGACTTTGGCTTATGACTTCATGGCTATGACAAGGAAGCTGCCTAGAAACAGCTCCATACACATGCCTAATGCATCCAACTTTTCAAATCTAAGTCACCTGGCAAATGATCATGAATTCCTTGATTTATGGGTGTAGTGCAGACTCTACTGAAATCCAGAGAATTATCCAATATGGCGTTTATCCTTCGAAAGATATTGGCATTGCTACACGTGGAGAGTGCAGGAGCCTCCTGGTTGTCCCAGCAGTCTTTTACTCTTCCCGCTTCTTCTTCCTAGACACAGAAAAAAGATATATTTAGGTTTTCTACACTCCATTATGATAGAGACTTCATGCCCCCTTTCTCCCAAGCCAACACTATGAGTTAGATAAAGTAACAAGGACTTGAGTTTCTTGTCTATATATCAAAATAGTTAATGAGTGTTTACCATGAGCAAGGTACCCTGAGAGAACTGTAAGAGGGAAAAAACACCAAAATACAGGATATTGCCTCAAGGACCTTCTAATCTAATGGGACACATATAGGCATTAGCGTGGCACGGTAGCAGCAGCAGCATGAGCTTTAGAGACAGACATACCTGCTTCAAATCTCAGGGTGTATCTATACAACAGAATATTATTTGGCAATAAAAAGGAATGAAGTACTGATACATGCTACAACATGGATAAACCTCAAAAACATTATGCTGAGTGAAAGAAGCCAGTCATAAGAGATTACATATTATATGAGCCCATTGATATGAAATGTCCAGAACAGGCAAATCTAAAGTATACTAGCTGCCTTCAAATGTGGAGCAGGGGAGGAGGTTAGGCAGTGGTGGCTAATAGGTACAAGGTTTCTTTTTGAGATGATGAAAACATTCTAAAATTAGATTATGGTGATTGTTGCAAAACTTATACTAAAAATCATTGAATTTTACATTGAAAGGTGAACTTTATAGTTATGTAAACTATATCTCAATACAGTTGTTTAAAAAGTTTGGTTCTGCCATTTATTGGCAGTTACTTAACCTCTGTGCCCCAGTTTCCTCATTTTGTAAATTGGGAAAAGAGTACCCACCAACCTTTTGATGAGATACATAAAGCACTTAGCATGGTGCCTGGCATATGGCAGCTGCTATTTTTACACCTGAAGATGTAACTACAAGAGAAAATATGGTAAGCATGAAGAGTGGTACAAACACTCTTTGCTACACCCAAAGGGAACTAACTGTACGATTCTGTGTGGTCATTAAAAGTACATACAACTCGTGTAAGACATTACCGAATGAAAAAAGCACTCGCAGACATAAAATCACGAACTGCATTCCCACAAAAAAGTGATTCTTTTGTTATTCTCTAGCTCCGTAAATACCACCACCACCCACCAGGTACTCTATACAGAAATTTAGGTACAATTCTTCACTCTTCAATCTCCTTCAATCACCACATCCAATGCCAGACATAGTAAGCAATGAAATATTGGCTGACAGACTGAATCTTCTAAGGGGAGTCTGATATCAGTTCTATTATTCCCAATTACCTTGGGGAAAATAAATAAAAAACAGACCAAGTAAGGAAAGGTGCACTTAAAATCTTATAGCTGGTCACTTCAAAACAAAACCAAAAAAAGCCTGGCATCACTTTGTTTAACCTATTAAAATCCAGATAAGCATGAGAACGACCAGAAGCATTTACAGTTTTATAAACTCTGCAGGATGGCCTTAAAGGGACAAACTTGAATCCCACATTATTCTCAAGCTCTTGAAAAGACCGGTACCCTTTGCAAGCTATGAGGATGACCAGAATACACAGTCCTGCAAGGTCATTTTCCCAAGCTCTCCAGAGAGGCACCATTGAGAATGGTTAAATTCACTGACACAAGGCCCTTTTTACAACTGTAGATTTCTAAGATGATTCTCAACCTCACTAAGGCAACTTCAGAAAGGCTAAGATACAAGCATTTACAATCAATCTGCAGATCTTATGGCTACATACTTCATTCATTCACTACCTAATAAATGTTAACCTGCTATCTACAGTGAGCACCCTAAGGGTAAGCAGATTAGACAGAGACTCAACTAAAAGAAATTACTAAAGTCTAGAAAGGGAACTAAGACCCGATCATGCTGTAAACAAGCACAACACAAGCTACAATGTGCTGTAAATATACATTGTCCTCTAAGCTGAGGAGGAAGAGAATGTGCCTGGAAGTGAGGGTAAGAGGAAGGTCTGAAGAACACAGAGAACAGAGGAGAATTATCAAAAGTGGTCCAGTGTGGTAGAGCATTAGATACAGGAGAAGAGAGCAGACTGGAAAGAAGGCCTCATATGCCAGGTTAAGGAGTCAGAATTATCTTCTACATCAGAGGTTCCCAAACTTTAAAAGGCCTCTCTTAATGTACAAAAATTAACCTAATTTTTATTTACTATAACAGATGTGCTATATATACGGATTCTCCAACCTGGCCACACTTAAATGCAAATAAATGACAACTGCATGCAAGTCTTGGGAGAAGACCACAAGCAACTACATGGAAGATGCGAGGCAGGAGAACCAGAGAGGAAAGTGCCATAGTAGTATAGGAGGAAGATGCAGACCTGGAGCCCTTCTGGGAGAAACTTGCTTCCCTAGGAGGAATGGAAAGTCTAAGAATCTTACTATCTCAGGCAGCCTGAAAAAATTTAATTTAGAAACATGCCTGGCCAACTCTGTCCCACTCTCAATCCTGCCAGGAACATACACCGTAACCTTCAAACTCAAGGCAAATGATATCTGGAATGCCTCCCTCCCTCCCCTTCTCTCAAGTATACCAAATCAGAGACTAGAGGACTCTGTGTGACTAGAACAAAGGTAAATGAAGTGTTCAACATATACCCCACACTGCTTAATCACATCAGTAAGTACCAATGGTTTGCTTTCAGTACCCAATCTGGAAGAAAAAAAAAAAGATCAAAGCCAGAAATGACAGATGGGGAACAATCTACCACTTATGGGTACATAGGGATAAAAGTAATAATACTATCTCATAGGGCTTTTGGTAAATTAATACACATAACATGCTTGGCATAGTACCTGGTACATAATTATGTGCTGAACAAATGAATGTTGGCTATCAGTAGTATCATTATTATTACACCAAGGGGTCAGAGGCCACCACAGGGATCCTTGAAGGAACGAATCTATTTGCTCATTAAAGGAGAAAAACATACTAAAGACCCAGGTCAACTATTCCTTTGAAGACCCCAGGCCCTTCCATGCCTAATCTTCCCAATCATTTGATTTAAAGAGATTAAGACTAAAGACATGATACAAACTAAACTCTCTAAAACCTGAAGCTACTATAGAATATAGTGATCCTTTTGAACTCTCTAGTTAAATGAATTCATAGTTTCTCATTTTCAAAACAGAAACCCTCTATTCACCCCTATATTTACAGGCCCATTACTCTGTATATTCTATCTTAATTTTGATCAAATTACAGGTCTGAGATCATACCTATGCTTTATCATAAGTAAAACAGTGTTTTTCATGGTTATGCTATTATTGCCTGATAGCTTTACTGTTATTTTTGGCATATTTTGCCATAAAGTGAGATCGTTTGCAGCTTTTCTTTTTCTTGACATTTTGTCTTTCACTATGGACAGGAAAGTAGGCTTTAAGACAGATCATACTTCCAAGAGAACGCAAAGCTTAACACTACTGAGAATCATGGATCAACAGGAAGAATTACTTAGAAATGCTAGGAAAAAAAACCATAATTCTTACTGTTAACTAGCTAAACAATGCCTCAAGATAAAACTAGTTACAACTACTTATTGTCAGAAAGAATGGTTCATGAGGAATCTCCGCTAATACAAGCTGCTTTACAGCACGTCTCCATTTTCCCCTCTCACCAGATGAGCGCTGACACTCCCATCATGAAACAGTGGCTTCCTACAGCAAAAACCTTCAACTGGGAGGGGAGACCATAGTCTGAAGAAAGCATTCCCCTTTTCCAAACGGGAAGAATCCGTGAATCACTGTTTCACAAAGCAGAAAGAACACATGCTTTGGAGTACAAATACTCTTCTTTGAGCCTTGGTTGCCTCAGGTATAAAATGGAGTACCAGCTATTCTGTAGACTTTGTAGTAATGAGAAATACATAAAGTGCCTGAACATGCTCAATAAATAACTTATTAGTGACAGATGTCCCCCAATTCCATATACTTGATCAAATCATTGCTCCTCAGAGGTATGCTTTCAACTTATTCATCCTAGTCAAACTCACCAAGAAGCTTCTTTACTTGTTTAGCACCTAACTGGAGTCCTTTTTTTTTTTTTTTTTGCAATTGTGGTTTGAAACTATCACTCATAACTCTTTAAAAATCTGAACCTACATCACGTAGCTATGTTTGCTAGTTAAGGAATGAGTGTAGGTGTACCTACAATTGTATACTTATTTGTATGACAGAACAAATCGAGTAGTGCCTAATTTGGAAACCCCAGCCGTGCCTTCAGAGACTATACAACCCAGGATCAACATGGTGACAGGATGGCCATTCCTTTAAGTAAAATCCTGGTTTGGGGATATTTAATTATCATAAACGAATGCCAACTCTACCATCTCTGGGTTGATTTTTATTCAGTTTGCCTTTAATCAACAACACAACACCTACACCACAGACCCTTGAAAGACTACTGCTGCTAATCATCTACTATGCATTCATCAAAAGCCAGGTGAAAGATTTACGGAAGACTGTCTAAGGGCACACAGTTTATCTACTCCTCCAGATGGAGTTTTAAACCTAGGGTCCATGGATCGGAATCTATGGAGCCCCCAGCAAAACTGTGTTCACACTAAAACTTTTTCTGAGAGTAAGATTTTCTAATTAATCAGATACATTTTAGTTAAAAGCATTGGTCTTGAACAATTAGATTTTGTTTTTAAATTAAGACACGGCAATAGAAAGTAATATATTTCGACACCCCCAAAGAACTGGTTCTGAGATGTACTTTGGCAGTTTGCCCTTAGTTTATAGCAAGTTATAATAAAGCTGAATAAAACCTCTAGAGCATTTATACTCTGGATTTTGAGGAGACCATGTACTACAATTTTGAACAGCCCTTACATGAACATCCACTTAGAAAAATATCATTCAGACCAAAGATTAGGAAACGCTACAGTTTCTCCTAAGGAACTGATATGTTTTCCTTAAGTTCTTTATGAAAGAACTTCTAGCCAAACTTCTAATCTTCTAGCCAAATTTCCATGTTTGCTTTGGTCACCTGCTCACTCAAAGCCAAGTTTTTG